TCCCTACATCCTGGTTCTTCTCTTGAAGTACATTTTTGGCGTTGTTGCCGTCCTAGCAAGGTAACGATTAGTAAACCCTTAAAAGACAATCCTTTATTGTTTACAAAGGATGTATAAATCTCAAGGCCATTATGCATGGGCAGAATCTTGAGCATATAATTAGTGTGTTTTGTTTCCTGAGTTTGTAGTTTTGTATGAATAATGAGTCTTTGAATGAGCTCCTATGGAATGTGATGCAGGTTTGGTATGAATGGTCTGTAACATCGCCCTCCAGTTCACCCATTCACAACACCAATGGACGTTCATATTGGGTCGGGCTGTAGCGTCGCTTGGTTTTACGTCTTGTTCGATACACGCGAGGATTGAAAGTCTGGTATTCCGATGCGTTGATACACGCGAGGATTGAAAGTCTGGTATTCCGATGCGTAAAACGCAAGCAGAATTGATTGTTTAATCCATCTTAGATGCGACTAGGTTAAGTGTCTAATATGCCTATGCCCCACCTAAAATTCATGGTGGTGAATTAGTTTGGGTGCCCCATAGATGTGGGAAGAATTACACCCGGATACATGCGGTGCTTGTCCCTGATGTGAGTTTGTATTGAATATATAAGGCAATAGAAATGTATATCTGTTGTTAGGATTTGAAATTTTGTTGTTCGACTCTATACAATAGTTGACGATATGAGTTATTGAAATCACTTGATTAGAGATAAAAGTGGATTAATTTTTAAGTGTTTCCCATCTTTTATGGCTCGACCAAAAGGGGAGGGAGGGATCATTGAGGGGATTCTATAATACAAATATTTTTTGAAATATAAATATATACATAATTGTTCCTATTTATCATTTAAAATTTGCCCTCTCTCTAAGTCTAATTTTGGGCAATGGGGGAAATAATCAGATAATTTAGGGCCATGTCCATGCAATTAGGAAATAATCAAATAGATTAGGGTCTTTGAGTTTCAGACTTTGGGTTATAAAATGGTAAACTAATCATTAAGATTTCAAAAAAAAATGCAAGTGAAAAATAGAACAAGTGAATGGAAATCATATTTATACATGTGCTCGTGGTTTTAAGTTCGAGTCTCTCTTTTATTATTTTGGGTGTATAACAAAATGGTATCTTATTGTTATTTCTTAAATATTAAAATATACATAAATATTTTATATTTATAAAATTAATGATTCTGCTTATGAATCATTTATTGTGAGCAACCAAATAATATAAAATAATAATAATTAAGGATCTTGCATACAATAGAGCTAGGAATGGAAAATATAAAATCCAGTAAGACAGTTAGTAAATTAACTGTCTTTCACACTATCTAACCCATTTTAGTTTTAATGCCTTCACGAAAAGTAAAATAACATCATGACCCTAGCAGTGGCGGTGAATTTGACCAATTTTAGGACGCGGCATGTGACAAATTTCCATATGCTTATACTATTTATTTGTGACTACAAATTAAGACGTTTATCAATTGCATTTTATTATTTAATGCATAAACAATTTTTCATGGAATAATCAATACGGAAATCACATGAGATAGTGTAACAAAATAAAAGAAAAAACGAAGGAGCTACGATAACCATAAATTAAACAGAGGATTTGGATTCGGATTCAGTTATTTTGTTTTTAAGTATGATGTGTTAGCTTTACATGCTTTGGATGCAAATTTAAATGAGGTGTTGTGTAGAGATAATTTCTTTATGTGACAGAGTCGGTGGACTATGAGTGATTATAGAATACTACGGTAATTAGATCACGTGGTACATCTTGTACACGTGTTATATTATGGGTGGACAATATGGTTTATTTTTCATTTTTTAGGGAATAATATCAATAAATATCCACTTATATTATAACACGTGTACAATATGTACTACGTGATCGTGTTACCGTAATATTCCATAATCACTCGTATTACTATAATATTCTATAATCACTCATACCATGTGGTTATACTAACGTAATATTCTATAATACAATTACATGGTACACCCTCCACCTCTGATCTCTCTCCCTCTCTATTCTCCCGCAACCCCATCGACAACAAACCCCCCCAATCCACCCCGCTCACCGATTCAACCTAACCGTCTCCCAATTACTCGACCCAACCCCAAATCCCTCCTCCCTCTCTCCCTCTCTTTCTCTCTCTCACCCTAGTTTTTTCTCTATCCAGAAAACTCCCAAGCCCAACGCCATTATACAACCCCCATTTGCACCCGAGATCCATCCCAACCCTAACCCCATCCCCCAACAACTGCCCAAATTCCAACCCCAACCCCAACCCCAACCCCAAACCCACCTCCACCATAGACCCATTCCCAGCTCATACCCATCTTTTTTTTTTCCCTAATTTTTTTTTTATTAATTTATAATATATATGTTTTAATTTAATTCACGTGGCGTCCATATCAACAACCTAACAATTTTTTTTTACTAAACTTAACGGAATGACCAATAATGTCATTTTAAAAAACATAAAAAATGAAAGATGATAATTAAACATAAAAAATGAAAGATGATAATTTTACAAACCTAAGGCACAATATGTTATAAAAAAGCCTTTATAAATTCCAAAGCCTGTAAAGTTGGCCTCTTCTCGAAATTCCTTTCCAAACCTGAAAAGGTTTTAAAACAGAAAAAAATACAGAGGTTATAAATCTGTATCTTTCCTCTCTGCTTGTGATACGAAGAGAGAGCGAGGGAATTTCAACAAACACCGCCCTTAGCAAAATCCAGGTTCTGTTTGTTTCCCTGGAAATCAATTGCTTGCCCTTCTTCGTTTTGCGTTGGATTTGTATCCGCCTGTTTTTGAATCTAGGGTTTCTGCGAGTTGATTTTAGTACCGATTGTGATTGAACAGTGATTTTGAAGAGCGAGATGTACAACGGAATAGGGTTACAAACTCCAAGGGGGTCTGGGACCAATGGTTACATACAGACTAACAAGTTCTTCATCAAATCGAGGACCGGAAAGGTCGCCGATTCGTCCAGAGGCTTTGACGACGACCAGGGCATGGGCGGCGTCATGAAGAAGGCCAACAAGGACATCCTCGAGCATGATCGCAAGCGCCAGATTCAGCTCAAGCTTGTGGTGCTCGAGGATAAGCTCACCGATCAGGGTTTTACGGATGCTGAGATCGCGGAGAAGCTCCAGGAGGCTCGGAAGACTCCCGTTGTGATTTCCGATAAGAAGTAATTTCTCTCTTTTTTGGTTAAAGTATGAAATGTTGAGAATTGCTTGCATATTTGAATAGTAATATCTTTATTTATCTAATTATAGTAGTATATTTTGCATGTAGTTTGCTGCTCAATAGAATGTGATTAAAAGTTGGACATTGAAATGTGATATTTTGAATTTTTTTAAATTAAATTTATATTTTGTCACTTGACAGGGTTTCAGATACACAGACCCACCAAATTGCTGCCAGGAAGGAGAAGCAAATGGAAACATTAAGAGCTGCTCTTGGGCTAGCTTCATCTGATTTAACAGAAAAAGATACTGATGAGGTTGATGATGGACTGAAAAGTAGTCGGAAGAATGGTCCAAATGATGATGGCAGGCCTCAGGAGAGAAGCGAGCATGCATTTTTGGACAGGGACTATTCGCGGAAGAAACATGGGGAGGAAAAGCAGAAAGCTGAAAAAGATGATAAGAAAAAGAGTGTGAAAGAATCTAGGCGGAACAAGAAGGAAGAAAGTAGGAAGAAAAGGCATAAGTATGATTCTTCTGATACCGATAACAGTGGTAGTCCTCCGAAAGCTGATAAAAAGAAGAAGCGCCGCGGAACTAGTAGCAGTGATGAAGATGATTCTGAAGTTGATGTTGGCAAGAAGCACAAGGTTGCAAAGAAGCACAATAAAAGAAGAAATGAAAACACCGATGATTCCGATTCTGCCACCAGTGATGATGATGCGAAGGACAGTTCAAGAAAGAAAGTTAATAAGTTCAAAAAACCTCATAGGAGGCATGATTCCGATGAAGATGATTCAGAAGTTGATGGTAGAAAGAAGCAGAAGGTTGTAAAGAAGCATGATAACAGCAGAAAGAATGACACTGATGATTCTGATTCTGCTACCAGTGATGATGGTGCTGAGGGCAGATCCAGAAAGGAAGTTGAGAAATCCAAACAACCTCGTAGGAGGCATGATTCTGATGAAGATTCTGGTTCTGATAAAGACTTCTCGAAGAGCAGAGCTGAAAAGGAGAAACTACATGTGAAACCAAGCAGGCGGCATGATTCTGAGGATGAGTCTGATTCTGACAGCAGGATGGAAAGGAAAAAAAGTCAAGTTGAGAAGCAGAGGAATCAGCATGGTAGCCGAAAGGTAGAGCGAGATAATTTTGTCGTGGAGGATGACAACAAAGGCAACAATGTTAAAAGTGGAAAAAGCAGGAAAAATTATGATGTGGATGATGAATCTGACTATGAAAGGTCCAGAAAAAGTAGAGGTGCAATAACAGAAAAGAGTAGAGGAAGTGGCAGGATTGATACTGATGATGATGTGACTGTAGAACATGAGGACAGAGTTCACAGCAAGGATGGTGAACCACAATGGGTTAGTAGGAGGGGTAATCAGGATTACGAAGAGCGTGGAGGAGGTAGAAGCCGCAGCAAGGATGATCAGGAGCATAAGGGTAGAAAGCACGGAAGGGATGAAGAAGATCATGGAATGCGTGGAAGACACAGGGAGGGAGAAAATAGGGGAAGGAAGCATGGAAGAGACGAAGAGGATCATGAATATAGAAAGCACAGAGAAAATCACGAAGAGGAGCGTGGAAATAGAAAGCTTGGGAAAATGGAGGAAGAACAGGGAAATAAGGATATTGACAGGGATCAAGTCATGGATTACAAGAGAGCAAAATATGATGATTCTAGATCAAATGAGAGGAGGAGGCACGAAAATGACAAACACAACGAGGAAGATCCTAAATATAGAAGGCGTGTAGAGGATGTCGAAGAGGAGCGTGGTAATAGAAGGCATGGAAAAATAGATGAAGAAAGGGGAAGTAAGGAGACTGAGAGGGAGAAGAGGAGGCACGGAAATGACAAACATAATGAAGAGCATCGCAAATATAGAAGGCATGCAGAGGATATTGAAGAGGAGCATGGAAATAGAAGGTATGGTAAAGTAGATGAAGAAAGGGGAAGTAAGGAGACTGAGAGGGTTAGGAGGAGGCATGAAAATGACAAACACAATGAAGATGATCATATATATAGAAGGCATGGAGAGGATGTTGAAGAGGAGCGTGGAATTAGAAGGCATGGAAACATAGATGAAGAAGGGGGAAGTAAAGAGCCTGAGAGAGATAGGCACCTGGATTACAAGAGAGCAAGATATGATGATTCTAGAAGGCATGGAAACATAGATGAAGAAGGGGGAAGTAAGGAGACTGAGAGAGATAGGCACCTGGATTACAAGAGAGCAAGATATGATGATTCTAGATCAAGTGAGAGAAGAAGATATGAAAATGACAAACATAATGATGGTCGTTCCAGGAATCGGGACTGATTTATGGTAAGATATACTTTTAAAAAAAAAAATCTGTACAGGCATTGTTTGTAAAATGCTTTTGAATTTTTTGTTATGTTGAGGTCGCATACAAACATCAAGGTTGCATGCCTTTCAATAAATGTCACTGAGTGCGTGTTATCAGCCATCCATTTTGTTATGTGTCATGGGTTCCCATGCTTTAGTTTCTATGTTTTTGGTTTATAAGAATTAAGGTGGTTGTAGCTGTCGTCTTCATGCAGCTTCTTTTCTGCAAAACACTAATTTCTGTAAAGAGAGGAATAAACCTATCTGTTGAAAGTTGAAACATAATGGTTTATATGCTTAGCAAAGTGTGGCATTAGAAGTGGCAGTTGGATATGTAGTAATAGTCTCCTCTGAGTCACTCTTTGTAACTCATCCATGCACGCTCCCATTGTTTTCTGAATAAAGTGTTTTTTCATCGCAATATAACCTTCATTGTGGTTCTAACATAAAAATGTGACAGGTTTTATTGTGTCTGTCAGAGGAGCTTGCTGAACATAATCGAATGTCGAGAGCAGAACTGGTTGTGCCGCTGGGCCGCTGGTGATGGAGGTGGCATATTAGTTTGACCAACCGTTGAGAGCTGAACTGGTTATGCCGCCTGTGATGGAGTGGAATTTTAGTTTGGCCGAGTTTGTTGTATCGCATTTTGAGTTGTAATGTTTTCTTGGATCTGTATCAGATTATGCAACTTAGCTGTAATACGGTTTTTAGGAACGCAGTTTGAGACCTTTTTTTTTTTTTTTTTTTTTGGCAATCAGATCCAGCCCTGGAATGCTGTGATTTTATTTTGCTATTTTCACGAGTCTTTAGCATGCCTCCTTCCCTGCAGCCAATGGAGTCTTTGAGGAAGCAATGAGAAACGCAATGCTTTTAATCTTATTTATTTGTTGTTGGCCTATTTGTTTATTAGCAGCAGGATGCAATGCATACACCAATGTGTCATGGCATTTGCCAATGAAGTCACGGATTTGGTTACAATTGTAAGTTCTCTCCTTTGTAAGGTGACTGATAAAACCGAGAAAACTAGAGATTGACAAATTTCTTTCTAACTTGAATATCATAAATTGGTGAACTAACAATGTTATCCCATTACATCTTAAGATATATAGACGAAAGCAGCACAAATCTAAAAATTTACATCTCCTCTTGGTCGGGAATTTTAACACATTTTATATCTATCCGCAAAATTCTAGGACATTATCATAAGGATCAAGGATATTGTGGGGAGGTTTTAGTTTCGGACCTAAATTTAAGCTGCAAGTTGACAATTTCCTCCCCAAAAGAATGACCGCAACTTGAAATAATGTCGCCGGAAAGTAGAGTTGAATGTTCAGATTGATGCAGAAGGGATTACTTTTCGTCGTAGGCTGGAAACTACGACTCCCTGTTCTGTCTTCTTTTGTTTTACTCATCTATATCTGTTTGCGGAAATGGATGGAAGATCATCCAACTGCTTGCTTATCAACAACCCATTTGCTGTAATCTTGTAGTAGTTGCTGCAGAAGCAATGGCACCAGCCTATCCACTAAGGCTTGCATCATTCTGCATGTCATCACACTTGCACAGTTTGAATTCATCTCTGCCCAAACACAATTATATAAAGTTCTAAAGAAACAAACAAAGCTTCAAGTACTTACAAATTTCCAGGACGCTCAACAGCTGATACTGGCATCATGGTGAAAGGGTGTGTATAAATCTGCACATAACATATGCTATTGAAATATTATTGAAATCCTATATTCCAGCTCAATTATGCAAGTAGAAACTAGAAACAGCTGCTAATGACAGGTGAAAATCGCATGTATCAGCTATTGCGTCGAAGGAGAAAGAGAAAGAGAAAGAGAAAGATAAAGAGAACGAAGGATAATGCAAGCGAAATTTTAACAACCTCAAGAGTGAGTTTTAGCTTCACATCAACCTCCAAAAAAGATTCAGAGCCATTTGTGTCCCACGACATGTGATTTCTCATGAATGCTGTAAATAGAGACCATAAGATTAGAAGACGCTTGATATACTTTTTCAAAGAAATACATGAAGAGCCTTGCAGCCAGGCCCTTAGAATAAAGGCTTTCAACAATAAATGAGCATTTGATGACCTTACAAGTCTTTCTTCCTTCGAAAGTGTAAATTCGATATTCCCATGGACTAAAACTTACTCTTCTAAAAGTTACAAGACTCTCACCCAATCTTTATTCACCTGAAAAATGGCTGTTTTGGCGTTCCACGGCTTCTGAACCCTCAAACTGCAAATCACATTTGTAATAAGCCATCAAATGCATCCTCATTTTGCAATGTTACAAGTTCACTTTTATATGTAAGCATTGCTGGGATTTGAAACTCACCCTGCAAGAAAGCATCTCAACTATACAATCTTCATTTGTTGGGGTCACTCTCAAGTCCAGCACAGGAGCAGCTTCAAAATTCAAAAGCTGAAGCTTTGGCAGGGTGCATCTGCACAGAAAAAGGGCATTGTTTTTTCCTATCTTAGACTCACTTTTGAAGTTTCAAGTGAACATGGGAGAAGTGAAGCACAAAAGGGTTCCAAGGGAATGACCTGTAAGTATCAGTATCAAGGGATTCAAAGCTGTTTAAGGCTCTGGTGTTAAGCATGGCTTCAATTCCTGATTGGTGGCTGAGAAACTCACTAATGTTAAAAGTCTTGCCACCAGAGCTATCATCATGTTTTGGCAGCTTAATTCTTTCCTTCTTTGCAGCACACAAATTTGCTTTCTTTGCATTTGACTCTGAACTTAAGCTGGTTGCTTTAGTTACATTTATCACTTCAATTTTCTTCCTGAAATATAAAAGCAAAGATTTCTTAACCATTGAATGATCACTGCTAACTTTTCTTAGATGGGTCAAGATAAAATTGCTAATTGCAATACAAAATTAGAAAAAAAAACCTGGGGTTGAAGATTGGCATACGAGAGGATGGGAATGAGGCACACCAATGTACTTGTTCATACCATTTGATAGCCAGTGTCTTCATTATGCTGCAAAAAGATATTTTAGGAAGCAGAGCACATAAAGAAATTTAAATTATGAACTGTTGGAAAGGAAGAGATCAAAATCCTTAGCAAATCAAATTGTCTGCAAGCCTTAGTTTTATTATTTTCATATTTCTGCTTGGTTGGGGAGAACAGAGAGGGGAAGAAAATTCACCAGTTCTGGTTCTTTAAATTTCTTTTGGTTTTGTTCCTCGAAAAAAAAGTTCTTTTGGTTTTGAGTTGGAAGAGGATGGTGGTTTTAATGTGTGGGTCGAATATTAAATGTCACTGAGAGTTGAGGAGGGGATTCAGATTTGATTTGAGATAAGATACAGGATCATGAAAAGAAAAGACGTGACAACTCAGCAGCTCTCGATGTCTCTCAACCCACAACCACTGCAAAAATACAATTTTGCCCATGCCACCGTTATGACTATTATTTACCATTACCACTTCTTTCTTTCATTTAATTAATATAAGTAATAGTCTAAACTATTATTTATTCTATGCTCATTGGTGAAAGATAAACAACTTGCATCTTGATTTATAATAACTTAAGAGAAGATTTCTGGTAATGTATCCAAAGTAAAAAACAAAAGAGAAACGAGAAGATTTCTAATACATGGTCATTACACTTCTCTCAACACACTTCCAACACCAACCTCGAGCATATTTGCAAGGAAATAGTTCCTATCAAATGGATGAACACTCGAGGGTTTGAGATATTTCATATATGTGGAATTTTACATTCCTCAAAAACAAAAAAATGTTTATATAATCTAAACTCCCAACCTAAACAAAATGTGAATAAAAAATGGGGAAAACACCAGAGATGCAGATAAATATTGCTGTAGGAATGTCTTCAAAACCTTAATTAAACTAAGCCTTCTGAATCACCCTCAGCTTAGCACTTCTGGAACGGCTATTCAGGCTCTCTTCCTTTTCAGAAGGTGTAATTGGTCTCTTAGTGAGAATTGTTCCTCTCAAGCCTTGTACCATTTGTTTGATCCATGCTTCACTTTCATCAATGTCATTCTTGATCTTTCTCAAATCTTTCTTCCACGCTTCTTCTTCATTCATATCAATATCCCCATCTCCATCTTTGACATTGATGATGTCCAGAAATGTTTGTTTCACAATTCTGTCTTCCAAACTATGGAAAGAGATGACCGCTAGCCTACCACCAGGTGCAAGGCAGTCAAAACAAGCATAAAGAGAATCCTCCAGAGTCTTCAGTTCATCGTTGACAGCTATCCTCAGAGCTTGAAAGACCCTTGTAGCTGTCTTAATCCAACCTTGCCTTCCTTCTGTTGCAATTGAATTTGATTTTAGTAATTGAAACTTTTTTCGCATAGCCATGACCAAAACAAGCAAAGGTACTATAATTTTGACAGAAATATACAATGCAAGGCCAAAGTAGAACCACAACAGAGCACACGAGGATACCTACCTCGGCTCAGAGGAGTCGCACTTTTTATAAGATCAACTAGATCACCAGTGGAATGCAATCCACCATTCAATCGGGCTTTAACAATTCTATTTTGAAGAGAGTACCAGTTACTTTCTTCCCCATACTCTCGCAGGATGCGCCCTACCTCAGTCTCTGGCCAAGAGTTTAAAATGTCTTCAGCTTTCAGACTTGCCTGTCATAGCCCTATTCCAATCAATTAAATGAAACAAACATTTAAAATGATGATGCAACCAGTAAAACATAGGAATCATGTATGTCATTCCGCCTAGAAACTTTTCATTCACCCTACAATATCACCTAGAACTGCAATGAAGCGCACAGACATTGTTGGCAGAGGGCATTAATTTAAAAAAGAAAATAGATAACTAAGCCTAGTTCCAGAAGTCAAGAGTCATGGGTGCATATAAGGTATAACAAGGGGATCATAATTGGGGCCATTCAAATCTTTTCAACCCCACATGCGCCCATCATAGGCAATGTACAGCAGTCCATCCTCAACTGTCCTAAATATTAAATCCTCATGAAGGTCATGGCACATCCAATCCTCATACTTACGTAAAATATCGTCAAGGGCAGCAATTTGCTGCATGTACATGCATGTGGCGTAACTGTAGCCTCACCATATGCTTCTGATGAGAAGTGATTATAGCCTAAACATCAGTATAATTGGCATCACATTTGAGTTAATTCACTGACGCAAGCAACCCTGATGGACAAGTATAGAGAGAATGGTATTAAAGACTCCCTGATGGAGTCCATCTAAAGAAATAATTATCACCATAAATAATAGATTGACTCAATAAGAATACCAACGGTCTATAACAAAGTTCTACCAGCTAAAAGACTTCAAAATGGAGAAACCAGGCAGCCTACACTTACACACTCAAATTTTTTATATGCATAATTAGAGAACATAAAATAAATAAAAAATTTCCCAGTCTCCATTAGATATAAGAATGTCGAAACATCTGTTACCTGAGGATCCATTCGCATATCAAGAGGTCCATCAGCAAGCACACTGAACCCTCTTTCAGGATCGTTCACTTGCATTGATGACATTCCCAAGTCCATTAAAATCCCATCAATCCCAGTGTCAAGGAGTGTCTCATCCACATCGCAAAGCAGAGACTTAACATATCTGAAATTCTCCAGAAAGGTGGAAGCTTTGAGGGTCGAAGAAGTTGGGTTATGCAAAACAGAGTTGATCCGAGCTCGAGCCTTCTCAAGCGCCACAGGATCAACATCAAGTCCTACATACACTTCCATTTCTGGATGGCCTTCAATTATCTGCAAGTAATTAACAATAAATCCAAAAACCCAACTCACAAAAACTTCAAATGAAGAGTGATTACTGACCGCAGAGGAATGCCCAGCAGCTCCAACCGTACAGTCGACGAAGTACCGGAGCTGTTTGGATGCCGAGAATACATCCAAAACTTCACCAAGCATGACTGGAATGTGGGTGGCAGTATCTCCATAACGTTTAATGGTTTCCAATTTGAACTCTCTATCAGAACGCGTTCTCCTCTTTTCTTTTATCACCACTCTCTGCTTCAGCTTCTCCTTCTCCTTCTTCTTCTTGCTTGTGGTGCTGCAGTTGCTGCTGATACTAGAGGCGGTTGTGAGGCTTCGCAGACGGAATGATAACGAGGAAAAAGAGAGGAGCTTTGAGGCTGATGTTGATGCTATTGCCATTTCTTTCTTCCAAATGTACAACACTGATGTGGTTTTGATTTTAATTTTTGTAGCCCTAAAGTGGGATGCTGGGTTGGCCCAAACTCCTAACTCCACTACACAAAAATCAAAACCCAAACTTCAAACCTTGAAGGGAAAATTTTACGAATTACACATGAAGTTTAGGCCTTGTTGTACAGCGCCGCTTGAAAAGAAAATTGAAGCAACGTGCTATTTATGAACAAGCGCATTAGTCATTTGATTTTAAATTTTGACATTATGGAGTTGGAATTTGGATTGGGGTTATGGGAATGAATATTGGCATTTTTGGGTTTTGAGTTACATATGAACATTTGGGAGTTAGAGTTTGGATTGGGGTTAAGGGAATGAATTTTGGCATTTTTGGGTTTTGAGTTTGGATTTATAAGTTTGGATTGGGGTCTCGTGTGTGAATTTGGGCGTTTGAGTTTAGAATTTAGCATTATAAAGTTAAGAGTTTAGATTGGGGTTTCAAGTTTGGATTATGGCATTTTTGAAGTTAGATATTGGATGAGGGTTTTGGGTATAAACTTTAGAGTTTTGAGTTTGGATTGGGGTTTTGAGTATGAATTTTGGCATTTTTCAGGTTTGTGAGTTTGGATCATGTATGATTTTTGGCCCTTTGTGGTTTTAAAATTTGAGTTGAGATTGGATTTTGGGGTAGGAATTTTGGAATTTAGATTGGAGTTTTGGATATGAATTTTAGCATTTTTGGGTATTGAGTTTGGATTAGGGTTTCGAGTATGAATTTTGATGTTTTGAGGTTTAGAGTTTGGATTGGGGTTTCATGTATGAATTTTGGTATTTTGGGGTTTTGATTTTGGATTAGGGTTTCATGTATGAATTTTCGTATTTTTGGTTTAAATTAGGGTTTCATGTATGAATTTTGATCTTTTGTGGTTTTAAGTTTTGAGATTGTGTTTTTGAGTATGAATCCTAAAGTTTAGTTAAGGGAATATTAAAGAATCCAAAGAACTGTCTATTATAAGAAATCCAAATAATTGATGGAATCGTCGGTTTAATCTAAAGTATCTCACAACCTACATAGACCACGGAGGAAGGGTTGGGAGATACACTCGTAGAAATAACTAGTAGCAGAAATTTTGCATTTGCATTAATGTGACGACTGAAAATAAGCAAAGCTTTGCTTATTGCAGATAGAAGTTGGAAAGTCTATCCCAGTTTGATTAGGTCTAAGCTAATCTTTGGTATGTCAACTGTCAAACCATCAAAAGTAGTTGACAGTAAGAGAGAGGTGGCGGCCTAGCTACTTTCATCCCCTACCCATTTGTCATCTCCATTAATATTACAATATTATTATTAACATTATTAAATAAATTATATGAGGATGATGGAAATATATGGTCTGCCTGAGCTGTTAGCATGTTGCCTGTCCCTGCTGCTCATAAACCATTTTCTTCTTTTTGACTGACTTCTTTAGTTTTAAATTCATTACTCTTTTATAATCCCATTGCTTTCTTTATTTATTTGACCTTTTTTATTCTATGTCCACTGCTTGTTGCTTTAATCATGAAGACAAACTAGGTCCACATTGCCTCTCTCTCTCTCTCTCTCTCCCCTTCCTTTTTAAAGTTGATCATTTAGGTCTAAAAACAGGCTTGGTTGTAGTTGGTATTGGTGCAAGTAAGTGGTGATGTCGACAACAATGGATAAGCAAGTAGAAGCAAACCCATCATCATCATCATCACCATCACCATCACCATCATCATCTCCAGGAAGAGGAAGAGAAGAAGGACTAAAGAGAGAAGAAGAAGATCATGAAGGTGAAGGAGGAGGAGGAGGGGCTCTTCATTTTGAGGACAGAGCAAGAGCAGCCCAATATCCCACTTTCATAGGGAAGCATAAACTGGCAGCTTCTATATCCCATCTCCATAACCAAATCGACGTCATCCAGGTCGGTCTTTCATTTCCTTCTTCTTGTGTATACTGTAATTGCTAGAAAACCCAATAATTTATCATTAAAAACAAAAGCTATGACTTGTGATGCAGAAAGAGCTGACCCAACTTGAGACAGTAGGTGAATCCTCCATTGTCTGCAAAGAGTAAGCAAAATCCAATGTTAATCTGTTTTATCAAACTTCAATCCAACCCAACATCACTTTTTTTCTTTTTCTTTTTCTTTTTCTTTTAATTTTTAATTTTATAAATGTTTATGGTGAATCTCATACAGGCTCATTGCCAGCGTTGAATCCAGTTCTGATCCCCTGCTTCCATCGTAAGAGATAATTATAATTCCCACCATGTCCCTTCTTTCTTTGTTGTTGTTTAAGGACTTTTCTTTTCTATCTTAATCTTGACTGGGATGGGATATTTTTGTACACACAGGACTAAAGGTCCAGCTGATGTAGGGTGGGATAGGTGGTTCAGAGGAGCCCACAACTCAAGAAGTCACAATCGCTGGATCTAAAAACTTGTTCGCTTTCTTCAAAATCAGTGTTTTCTTTCTTTTATGCATTATCTTCTTCAGGCAGGGGAAAATAGGAGGTTCTGTTTTTGGTGCACTTTCTTTGACCATGATTTGAATAACTTATTGGGAAGAACGTGATTGGCATACAGACAAGCAAACATAAAAAATTACACGAAAGAAAAATCATTTGGGATATGCCCCTCTGAGCATCTGTTATATTATCATACTTTCTTTTTAGACTTGGTTTTGGATTATTTTTTTTATTTTTGGGTCACAAAATTGTCCTTGCTTGTTAAAGAGGCCTCAGTAATTAGAAATTTTATTCCAATTATTTTTCTTATTGCCGCAATCGGGGATTAAGAACGAGTGCATCAATCTACAAGATTGATTTCATCTACTTTCTCGCGAGGAAGTAACATTTGAAGCAGAGGAAATAACACATGAAACTCGCTTTATTAACACTTTATAAAACTTACTTGTACAATGACTAGCCGCAGAAGATATTAGCTATGAGAGAAAACATCACACAAACAATTTTGACAAATCTACATTCAAGACAACACATGCCATGATACTTAACATTGTTCGGCATATATAACAGGCACGGTAACATCCTTATGAACAGAAAAATGACCACCTGGTTAGAACCAAAACATTTGACCAGGGCACGGCACGCATCACATTTCCTTTTCCGATGTGCCAGCGAGCATGGCAGCATATGGCAAAATGTCTTCAAAGGCAAGGGACTGGGTAACCTACATTACACACGGGACCAGCCTTCAGGAAGCCCACAGCACTAGGTTCAACTGCTTCTGGAACAAAAAGAAGAGTGAGAAGGGTCAAAATAAAAAATGATTTCCCAAACAAATCCTGAAAATCAGCGGGAGCATTTATCCATTTTTAATTGAAGTAAAATTAAAATGGAAAATAAAACTCATAAAACATAATTTACCTAAATAGGGGAAAAGGAATCAGAAGAGAGAGAATGTACAAGATAAGGTTAAGAAGAGAAAAAGAAAAGGAAAAGGTAGCAGAGAAGATTCAGCAAGCCAGTTTATGGAACAAAAAGAAAGTAGTTGGATGGTACAATTGCAACTAACCTCAAAAATGCAGGTCTTCAGAATGCAGGTTGAAGTTTAAAAATATTCATGTCACCTCCCCTCTATCAATATCTACAAAAACATGCATATTACATTCAAATATTAAATAGCAAAAGCAAGCATCTTATACAACTTGCGATGAAACATTTGCTGTCAAAAGCGTCCCACGAAACCCCTCTTCAGTGTGTTGCACATCCATTTTCTGGTCAGATAGCTCATCTGTATTTAAAAAAAAAAAAAAAGCATGTTATGGTTATTGAAATTGGCCAATGCATTACAATCAGACCAACTACAAACATTTCCTAAGCACCATATTTTAAAGAATGTCCAAATAACTAACAACATGAAATTACCAGCAATATCTCGGTTCTCATGGATTTCTGAATCGTTCACCCAAAGCTTATCCCCAGGGAATATATTCATGTCCGCAAGAGTAGCAACTTCATCATCAATTATCCGAGTACCTTTGTGAAGTACCTGGTTTTCCTTAACAACCTGCATAATGTAAAACAGTAATCAGATGCCAACAGGAACAAAACAATTTTAACGCGTAGTTAATTTATATATTGAAAACACCAGGGGCACAACACGAGAGTGCCACCTTAAAAGGACAAGTTGTGAAATGAAACCAGGATACACTCAATCTTGGAAAGATGGATGTGTAAACCAACAAAAAGTGCACATAGCACTTGTGTTTGTGCATGTGTGCATTAGTGTGTATGCTCGCATGTATGTGTTAGCTTCAAGTAGCATACCCCAAAAGATTCCCATATCATCATTTTTAACTGGTATATGGTTGTGGAACCAGAGACTTTCAAGCTTATCTGATCCCCAGTCTTTGTCTTCCGAGAGCGCTTGGAAACTCGGCGATCTGGATCAAAATTTGTTTCAGATGGTTTTAGAATGGATTTTGGAGCTTCCTTGCCATGTATAAAGTACACATATATGTCCTCATTGCAATAGTCAAGCTTCCGCATTAGTTCCCTGCTTTCTCTTTCTCCAATGCAATCCTCACATATCTAGGAAAATTGAGACACCTAATCAGAAGAACAACTTTAAAAATGCTCCCTGTAACTTGCAAATTTTGATGTAACCCACACTAGAAATTTGTAAAATTTGTAGATTTTTGTGTGTGAACAATCTAGCAAATGTTGCTGGCACTTAAATTCTGCATAATAACAAAATTGATTCCTAAAAGAGAGACAGGGAGAGACAGAGAGAACTAATTCCACAAGGCAACTTAAGCTACTACTTTCCATAAGTTAACTGGAGTAACCAATTATCCTACCAGAAGACAACAGATCCAAAGATTCCAGAGATTGGAGCTCCTAATGTAGACAAATTCTACTTTAAAAACAAACAAGCAAAACAAGTTTCCTCCGCTATGCATGACAAGAAAAGAGAGAGAAAAAAAAAAGCCTTTACCTCAGGACAAGTCCTAATCACGAGTTGTCTGGACTCAACTTCACCATTTACTGGATTCGGAGTACTCAGATCCTCCTCACACATTGGCATCTCTTCGCAGGACCCTGCCAAATTATTTCCTTCAGTTTTACTTAACTCAATTTCAGCAGATATGCCCTTCTCCTGGACACCGCCCCATTCCTCACAAAAGGATTTCCAGTCACTCTCAGGAATGATTATTAACCCATCCACCTAGAATCCACAGAGAAAAAAGAAGCAAGAATTCCAACATTAGAGCATTCACACAAGATTAATCAACAAAAATAGCACTCTCTCTCTCTCAAACACACACACACACACACACACACACACACACACACACACACATATTCACAAACACGCATTTATTCACACTTACAGGGGGAGACTTCTGGGAAATTAAACCACGTTTAGAGACCAGATCAACAGGCCTTTCTAGAAGTCGTGAATGCTGAAAGAAAGCAAGAGGAAGGTTAAAATAATAACACTAATAACTGAATAAAAAGAAGGCAGATTGAACATGGACCAGAATAGTTCTCAAATGCGCAACAAAACTTTTAGTTCAAATAATCAGTCCATAACTTGATGCCAGGATTCCTCAACTTGTTGATTTGGGACCAATGGTAAGTTTGTCTGACTTATGAGTATGGTTAAAGTCAAAAACATGCATATTGCCATTTATGGTCTACCAGAGGTGCCGGATATTCAACAGAATCACTGCCCAGAAAAGTTGCAAGTTACCTTTTCACACTTCAGCAAATCCATGATGCCCTCTAATGTTTCAGGTTTCTCCACTGAGGAAACATTCTTGCCACTTGCAGTAATGTAGTTTTTCCACTTCGAAAGCCAAGAAAAGGGTATCAAGTAATACTTGCAATCCAGAGAAAGAGGCACGGTTTTCCCTGTCAGTAATTTCTCATGAGTCTGGCGCTGTTTGAGCCTCACCACTCTGCAGCACAAATACTGGTTAATGCAATTACACATGCTTATCAGTCTGCTAGGAGTAAAAGTTTAAATTACCTCAAAGAATCCTCCATGCATGCAACTTCAGATAGTTCATCACTGCATTGGGAACACTGTGCAGAGTCTAAAGGAAACGTTGAACAACCCAAGTGATCATCAGGCTTTACTGCAAAAGCATCTTCATAAAGGAAGAGCCAGAGATTCTCGGGAACAAGCAATCTCTTAGCACCAGTGGCTTGGTCAGGCATAAGTTGCCCATGAGGACACCTAATTGAAGCTGTTGGTCCCGCATCAGCTTCTGATGGAGCATCAAGAATTTTTCTTTTAAGCCACTGTTGTAACCTACAAATAGAAACTAACTAGAATTACTATAGAAAAAGAAAATATGATGCAGCAGAAGATTGAAGAGGTCTGAAGGACGGATAAAAAGCAACAGAATAGTTTGCAGCCATACCATGCTTTAGAAACAAAATATTCTCCATCTGAACACCTCCCTGCAAGTGCATCCTCAGCAACTTGCTTCATGAGTATTCTCCTATCCCTATAGCTGTCAGCACATACTACATTTCGAGCCCCCTCAGTAAGGCAAACCATGCAGTAGGCATCAGAGGCCAGAATTGGGCCCCCTTCATACTGAAATTACCAAAATTCGGTTAAAACGGAAGTAAAACACGTAGTGCAACAGAAGTAAAACACAGACATGGAAAAGATAAAACAAGCAAACAGAACATTTGACAGCATCAACACATAAGAAACCAAAAAAAGACATCAGGTTTATCACATAGAGCATCATGATGCAATTTTCAGCTGTACGTAACCACAAACAAAATACAAAGTTCACACAGTATTAGGTGAGAACAAAATACTCAAGCAAATACCTTAGAGAACAACTTGGTCCATGCTTTAGCTGACAACCGCTTTATGGAGCCAACCTTTGACGCTGGAACTTTTTCATGTGAACATAGGATGGATGTGTTGTCAAGAACACTGCAAGTGATTACTGAGTAAGCCCAGAAAAATTTGCAAAACAGAGACCCTGACACTCTATTTCCAGCAGAAAGAAAGTTAAGAACTAGAAATATAAACAAAGACAGCAAGAATGTCCTTACGGTGAAATCATGTTATCAGCCCACTGACGGAGCCAGTCTGTTGAAATCCAGAAAAAGGATTCCTCCAAAGATCGAACAGGCGCTTCAGACAAAATTGAACGCACTTCCTGTCTACGCTCTGTGATATGATTCATCTCTTCTTCTTTTTTAAATTTGTATTTTTGGCAAGCATCAAGATATGATGCATTAAAGTTTTTAATCTCTTCACAAAGATGAGATGGAAGAGAACTACAAACAATATCACCTTCTATCTTCTTATCATTGGCATTACACTCTACACGCACTTTCTCATCATCCTCTCGGCAACGCCTGAGATTATACATCAGCATATATGCATCACTAGATGAAAATGTCTCCACATGACCAGAAATAGATTCTGTAGGTTGTTGGTGACTGACATCCACATTATCACCATTTGAAACAGCATTAATTTGTCCCGTGCGAGATGGATGAACTGATTCAGGTTTAACATTAACAGGCTTGGTATTGGAACCTGAAGTGCCTTCTCCAAATGGGTGAGCACCTAAATTTGAAACATGCTCATCATCAAATTCCCACCATTGTCCTGTCTTCTCATC